TCTTGTGTTCGTCAGAGCATCAAGAAAAGAAAGAAACCAAAGCTTTTGTGAGGCGTTAGTGCATAAGGTTGGTGCCTCGTGAATGGGGTTACGGAGTTTTTGAAAAAGAACTGCATGGCCCCCACCCACCGTGTGAGGACACAGTGAGTGGGTTCCCACACTTACTCCTATCCAGACGTGGAAAACACATCTGCTCACTTACAAGCTGCTCACTTTAATGACACTTTTTTTAAATTTTAAATTTATATTCTTTACAATTTATTCACTTTGTATCCCAACTGTAGCCCCCTCCCTCGTTCCCTCCAGATTCTACCCTTCCCCTCACCTCCCCCCATTCCTCTCCCCTATTTCTCACAGAGGGGGAGACCTCCTCCCCTACCGTCTGACCCCAGCCTATCAAATTTCATTAGAACTGCTTGCATTTCTTCCTCTGTGGCCTGGCAAGGCCAGCTTGACAGAGGGAAATTATCAAAGAGCAATCAACAGACTCTATGTTAGAGACAGCACCTGCTCCCCTTACTTGGGATTCCACACAGAGACTGAGCTGCCCATTGGCTACATAATAGCAGCTCAAGCAGACTAAGACACCCATTTCTCCTGTTTTCCTTTAGCATCCCATTCAACATTATAATTAATTTTGATGTACTAATGTTAATATTTGATCTCCTTTCTTTACCATAAAAAAGATGGCCTCCAAAACGCAGTCTTCAAAATAATTTGAAAAATATGAATCACCATCCCTGTCACCCACTCTCTGTATTTATCTATAAGAAATGGCATAATATTTAAAAGGAATAATCACACTGTTGGATAGTATAAACTTAGTTAAACAGAAATCTCTCTGTAAAAGTTGATTCCAACATAAGCAACAGTTTTACAGTTACTATGACCAACCTCATCCAGAGAACATGCATATGGCTCTTCAAAGTTGGTTCTTCTGGGATCAGAAACTAAAAGGTTTTAGATAAAGTGTGTAGTTGAAGATGATAAAGTTGATATAGCTGTACTGGAATGCAGTGAGTTAATGCTTTTGAGGATTGTATGCAGTCCCTGGACGTTGCTGTCTGTAACAAAATCTAAAATCCATCTGCAAGTCACTTCACTTAAATATAAGCTTGAAAGATCTGAAAAATGATCTCTGGAAAGTTCTACAGGTACAAACATGGGATAAAGGAGAAAAGTCAAGCAATCATTTGAATGATCACACACACACACACACACACACACACACACACACACACGACGCATTTGTCTTATTCTCAGTTTTTCAGGTTCCCAGAATGTCAGCTGAGCACACCACAAGTGAAAGTAAGAACTCCAGCTGTGAATCTTGTTAACCATCTATCTATATTTGTTCATGATCGTCTGCTTTTCATCAGGCTTACAGTAAAATATGTAAGTTCAATTATTCGAGTCTTTATTTCTGAAGGCTCAAACGTCACAGGACGTTTATATTGCATAAAACTGTACGTTGATTTCCTGTTTGCCTGTTTTGTTAAAGGAGACTCAGTAATAACAAAAAGCTATCCTTCTCCCCTGTGTCTATAGCCACTTGAAATCAGATCTTCTGCTAGTCATACCTTTCTTGTCGGAGGCTGTTGTCTGCTTCTAGTCTGAGTTCAACAAAGGAACCTCAAGTGCTGGGTACAGCCCACAGTTCTTTATCAATAGAATCAAGAGATTAAACATAGTAGGAGACCACACCTCCAGCCAATGGAGACTACCTATAAAGGTGAGGAGGGTGTATGTTTTACCCCTAACCCTGCCACTTCTGCTTGCAAGCTATTTATACTCTAAGAGCTTGCTCTCTTTGCCTTTTTGAATGGGGAGTGAGCATCTTAACCAGAGTCCTCCTGGACGTTGGAAGAGGGAGAAAACAGGGAACAGGACAGGTGCCTACCACAGAGGGCTTCTGAAAGGCTCTGCTCTGCAGGGTATCAAAGCAGATGATGAGACTTATAGCCAAATTTTAGGCAGAGTGCAAGGAATCTTATGAAAGAAGTGGGAAATAGTAAGACCTGGAGAGGACAAGAGCTCCACAAGGAGAGCAACAGAACCAAAAAATCTGGGCACAAGGGTCTGTTGTGAGACTGCTACTCCAAACAAGGACCATTCATGGAGATAACCTAATACCCCTGCACAGATGTAGCCCACAGCAGTTCCATATGGGTTCCATAGTAATGGGAACAGAGACTGTCTCTGACATGAACTCATTGACCTGCTCTTTGATCACCTCCCCCTGAGTGGGGATCAGCCTTACCAGGCCACAGAGGAAGACAAGGCAGCCACTCCTGCTGAGACCTGATATACTAGGATCAGAAGGAAGGAGAGGAGGACCTCCCCTGTCAGTGGACTGGGGGAGGGGCACAGGTGGGGAAGAGGGAGGGAGGGTGAGATTGGGAGGGGAGAAGGGAGGGAGCTACAGGAGGGATACAAAGTGAATAAACTGTAATTAATAAATTTCTCATTTCTAAAATAAGAATAGATTTTATAAGCAAGAAGTTGGAGTAAATTAGATTATGGGTATTACGGTAAAATTGTCAAATGGATAAAATCTTGAGTCATCTTGGGATAGAGTCTTAGAGAGAAATTGCCTAGATTATCTTTCTTATGTTTATTTAATCAGCCTGCTGTGGATGGCACCATGCCCTGGGTAGGGGTTCTAGACTGTATGCTTAGAGAAGCCAAGCAGAGAAGGAAGCACACATGCATTCATGTGATTCTGTTCTTGACTGTGGATGAGTAAGAAGCACACATGCTCTCGTGTTTCTGTGCATGAGTAAGAAGCATGCGTGCTTTCACGTATTTCTGCTCTTGACTGTGGATGTGACACGAACAGCTGTTTTATATTCCTATAGCACTGACTTTTCTGCCATGGTGGATATTGTCAGTGAAAATAAACCCTGTAATCCTCCTGTAAGTTGTTTTCTGTGGGGTTGCTTTTTTTTTTTTTTTCACAGCAACAACAATGAAAGTTAGGTTTAAAAAAAAAAGTGTTAGAGCCTGGCACAAGGTAACGTGCTCAGTACACATTTCTCCTTCATGTTTGACATCTCAGTTCACCATTTAAGTTCAGATACAAATGGCAGATGTTGATAATTTGTTCTGCATGCCTAGTGCACGAGCTAGTTACTTGTTGCTGACAAGTAGCATCTGACAAGAAGCACCTTCATGGAGGAAGGATTTATTTCAGCTCCTGGCTTGAGGGAGTGTAATTCCATTGTGGCAGGAATCTCACGCTGGCAGGTGTCTTCTTGCTACCTACATTGTGTGTCTTCCTCCTGTGGACTTACATCTATGCTGCCTTCTTCCTGGAGACACATATCCATGCCACCCTCCTTTGGAGAACCCACAATCATGCTGCCCTCCTCCTAAGGATGCCACCCTTCTCCTGAGGACCCACCGCCATGCCACCCTCCTCCTGAGGACCCACAGTCATGCTACCCTCCTCCGGAGAACCCACAGCCATGCTGCCCTCCTCCTAAGGATGCCACCCCTCTCCTGAGGACCCACCATGATGCCACCCCTCTCTTTTCTGCAGTCAAGCCCAGTCATTGTCCCATGGTCCTTGGCACAGAAGCCAACCTTCCACACAGCCTGACACACAAAGTCTACAGATGTGATATTTCTTAACTTGCAAATATGGCAGTTGATATGAGGTTGTTTTTGGTTTTTGGTTTTCACAATTGCTCATTAAATATTGTCACACGTAATTTGAAGATGGACCTCCACTATCAGTGTAATTTTATCTATCAGAAACAACCACAAGTACAAAAATCAATGAATATAAATTTTCAGCTGTGTTCTAAGATGTTTCTACAGATGTTCTTAGATTCAGCCGTATTTGGTGCTAAACAGATTTTCTGTTCCCTCCACCTTTAAGGGAAATTCAAGATATGCTTCTGCTGAACTCAAAACAGCATTTCAGTTAATGGCAGGCATCATCTGAAGATTGAGTCTTTGGGTAAAATGATGACCTTCATTGCTGTTTTCTAGTTATTTATGATACTGGATCACAGCATCAATACATATAACAACAACCACTTAAACAAATGTAATTGAAAACACAAATCTTGTTTACATATTTGGGAAACAGAGTAGAAGATAAGAAGTGAGTGTGTGCAGATTCCCACATGGCTGCTTATAGTCAAAGACTGACAGTGGGAATTTGTCTGTAAATGCCCTCAGAAATGGCACAGAATTGTACTGTCACTGAACCAAAGAATTACAGTATTTGGGACTTTGACACTACTGTAATAGAAAAGTTCTTATTGACTATTAACTTTTAGTCACAATTTAAAAAGTCATAAAAAAGAGCTTTTAAGTTCACATTAGCTACGAAAGACGATCAGCATGTACATGTTCATGAACACATAAATTCACATAGATGTGTATGCACACACACACACACATACACACACACAAATGGACCATGTGTCCTAGCGGAGAAAACACATTTTTGTTGTTAAGTATAATGTTTTTAAACAGGTGAGGCAGAAAATTGAATACAGGCATAAGCTTATTTTTGTTTTGATTTTTTAGACTTGGGTCTCATGTAGCCCAGAAAAATTTCACTATGTAGCAAAGGCTGACCTTAAATTCCAAACCTTCCTCATTCTGCCAAATGCTGATAATGTCAATGAATTTGCCACCACACAGGGCTCTAAACAATTTTGGAACCAGCAGTTTCAATTCTATTAAGTAGCTAGATGGTGGTTATAGCACTCTTTAAATAATTTTCTTCCATATCCCAGGGTTGGAAGTCCCTAACAGGGGAAAGAAGACAACTGACCTCACATTGACATGGGAGTCACAGAGGAGCGAAATAAACATGCCCTCTGCCTTCTGAGGCCCATTCACAAACACACAACCAGGCATTCACAGCAGCACCAGTCACCCTCACCCCTCCTGCACCCTTTCCCTGCCCACGAAAGCTAGCCCAAAAACAAGCTACAAGTAAGAGAGCAGGCTTTTCAATATATCTGCAGTCTTTAGCCTCAACAATGCAATTTAATCACCAAAAAAAGTTGATATTTGGACTCCAGATGATCCAAGTTATCAGTTAACATACTTTTTTTTTTATCATTGGCACTTAAAAAAATAAATCAGAAAATAATATGGCTTCAAGTGCAGAAATAAATATGCATTTCTGAGGGGTCCTGCATTATCTCTGGCTTTCCTCCTGTTTCGGTTCTAAAGACAGTCTCTCCCCGAGTTTTCTGATAAGTTCCGCTAGGTCTTCTGTGTTCTGCGATTTTTCTTCCAGGAGTTCGTAACGAAGACTCGAGATGTCTTGCTTAATTTCCTTCAGTTCCCCTGTGAAGAGGCAGAGTGAAAAGAAGTTAACTATGAATACAAAACACAAACTAGCAATTTAAAGTTAAAATAAGGACAACGCTAACTGTATTCTGAATCTTTTTAAAGGAAATAACTTCCAATCAGAGAAGGTTTCTATTTTCTCAGGTAAGAAAGATAATGTAATTATCTGGAGACTATTGCAGAGTTGGAGTAGCCGCCCTTCACCTTTCCCAGGCACCTCCACCAAGACCCTGTCCATGAAATGAAAATGTTTATCTAGTCTAGGCCATCTGTGGACAAACTTTGTTTCCTGTTGTTTTGTGCCTTTGATGGTTGTAATCACAGCTAATATTGACTTGACAAGATCTAGAATCAAATCACCTTGAGGAATGACTAGCATCTGGACTATGACCTGGGAGGGACTGGGGAAAGTGACATGGGAAGATGCAGCCAAACTGTGGGCAGCACGATTCCCTAGGCAAGAGTTCCAGCGGAATAAAAAAGGAGAAAGTGAGCTGAGCACTGCCACTCACTTCTTACTGCTTCCTGACAGGACGGCAGATTTAGTGTGACAGCTGCCTCCCATCCCTGCCGCCATTAGTCCCCTCAAACAGTGAAACAGAATAAAACCTTCCCTTCCTTAAATGGTGTTGTCTGGAATGTTGTCACAGTAGGGGAAAAACAGGAGGGGAGGGCTTATTCTATATACCCTCCTGAGCCTCATCCAACACGCCCAGCCCCCTCTCTTACCTCCACATCAAGACACAGCCCCCGCACACAGAGAAGAGCTTTGTCCTTAAACTTAACTCACCTTCGTTCACTTCATCACTCTCCTTATCTATTTGGGCCTGCAAGACATATCTTTTAATGAGTCTCTTCATGATTTTCTAAACAAGAAAAGGAGAAATCCATTTCATCATTAAGCTCATGCACACTTCTCATCTGGAATAGGTTGCTGGTCTACCCGTTTTGAGACATGATAGCTATCAAAGCTCAGGCAAGACTTAGCTCACAACCGGTGTGTATCTTCATATTCTATTTCTATTATGAAAGCAACTGTCACATTATTTGAGCTAATGACTCAAAAGGAAGACCATAGAGCAAACATTTAATTCTTTATTGCCTCCTCTTGTACTATTTAAAAGTAGGTCACAAAATTCTGGTCAGATAGGTCAGACCAGAAGTTTGTGCAGAACTCTTTGAGGAAGTATGGAATTAAACAATACCCGGTCCCCCATGCTACCCAGAACGGTAGCCACTTTTGATCGTATATTTGCTTTAAGAACCATCAGTTTCAGTGCAGTCAAGTTTCTCTAGTTCCTTGGTTTGTGTATAACTATTAATATAAAATGCAGATTAACAGACAATTGTACAGAAAGTTCTTACATTACTAAATCAAATCTTATTGCATAAAACCCAAATTAAAAGGTAATCAATACAGTTCTATCCTTTAAAAAAAGTTTACATAAAGATGTAGTTTGGCTTGGAGATACATGTTTTTAATAACATTACTTACAAAAGCAAGAAAGGAAACCTGAAGTGTCCATCAATAGTGAATTTTTTTTTTACTATAGTATCATTTACTTATATAAAAAACATAAAACATTCTTGGATAGTCACAAGAATGTATGTCACAGAGTGAAAACACACACTATAGAACTATTACACAACCTACTATTAATTCATGTGTAACATGCCACGTATGTTACATAACCTTAGCATGTATAAAGTTGTGCTTATGCATATAGAACCAGCAGATAGAGCACCCACGAGTAAGCCATCTTTATTTCACAGTGGGAAAATGTGAGGTAAAGTCTGCTCTTTGGTTTGATTTTTGAAGGTTTTTATTTCGGAATCCTGCATGTGTATGTGCATCTGTGTGAAGGTGTGTGCACAAGAGTGCAGGTGCCTTTGGAGGTCAAACGTCAGGGTCTGATGCCCTGGAGCTGAAGGCAGTTGGGAGTTGCCATGTGGGTGATAAGAACGAACTTGGATCGCCTGTAAGATCGGTACGTGCTCTTAAGTTGAGTCATCCCTTCTTCTTTTGTAAGGTTAGCCTTTTACAAAGAACTTGGGCTCTAAGCTATATGATTATCTAGTTACATATTCCTCACCCAAAAAGTATCAGGCATATGAAAGTTACTCCGCAATCACGGGTTAAGTGGATGCGACCTTTGATGCTGGAAAAAAAAATCCTGATATTTCATTTTAATCTAACGACGTTCAGAGCTTGAAAACCTAAACTTACTGAATAAGCTAGCTTTGAATCTTGAAGTTGTGCTTACCTGATATTGTCGTGGGGGGTTACTGAAGCTATTTAAATGGAAATCTTCCGAGCTCCTTATACTTGATTGTTTCTTGTGTGCCAACTACAAAAAGAATTAGAAATTCTTGTTTAATTTGTACCGTTGAGGAATGCGTGAGAGATTATTCATTACATGTGTGGGCTAATAGGCTGGGGCATTCAAATGAACACATCTACATGTACAAAACCATTTTCTTAATTGCATAATATTCTGTCTTATAAAGAGTAAGAAGTGGTTCTGCAAGTAGGGGCAATCACTCGGTTGCTACTGAAGATGGTGAGTGGAGCCTTAGAAGTCATGGTTCTCCTAATGGTCTCCTGAGTCATTCCTACATCATCTTCCAGCAAGTTGATGTGTGGTGCAAGGGGAGGCAAATACGCTGGGGCTTTGTGGTGATGGCATCAACCATCTGCTGGTGAGAAGACAGCCACTGTCTGATAGCCAAACCTATGCCTGTCCTAGAGTCTCACCAGAACACTGGGGGCCTCGCCAAACAGAATTCAGGGGGCCTGGAAGCTCTAATAACCCATTTCGATTTGAGGATCTAGACAATGTCACTTGTACTCTTCTCTAAAATTCTACTGTGGCAGCCCCTTTCAAGAAGAAAAATGAATTTTGGTGATACACAATAAATGTGGTAACCAACCACATAGGCATGCTGAGAGGCTGCGAACTCTTCAAAGTATCTTTTTCTAGAAGAGAAACTGATTTTTGCAAATATTTGTGAAGAAGTGAGCAAATGGAAAACTTCTAAACCTGCATACCATGGGGACAAACTGTCCTCCAATGGAATAAAACCCCTCCCAAGTGTCTGTGAAGTCATTCATGGTTTACATTCTCTAACGATGTGTCAGTGCCTATTGGGAAAGTTCTGTTCTTTAACTTCCATGTAATGATTCTACAATTCATGCTATTAAAACAGCATATAAATTCTTACCTAATTTGTGTGTCAATAATGTGTGAGAGTATTGGTTACATGGGTGACCTAAGAGGCAAATGAGTATATCTGTACATATGCAGCCATTTGACTCATGTGTCCTGTTAAGTAACATGACCACACATTTATCCATGAGACAAACATGCACTAAGGGTCCTTTGCATGGAGGGAGTTGTGTCACACTGCAGAGACTGAAAAAAAAAAAAAAACAAAAACAAAAACAACAACAACAACCATAAATCACCATAGTCCAGAAAAATGCCATCAATAGGCAGATGAGCACTGCAACACTGGTGAGAATCATGCAAATAATATGTAGATCCAAAGGCAGAATTTTCTTTTTTTCTTTTGAAAATTTCAGCAAAATATCCATATGTTGATTTACGTTGACTTTCAGAATCATGAGAACCTAGTGCTACAGTTTACCAAAGTGAGCAAGAACGATCAGTGAGGGTAACTGAGAAGGCCTGGTGGGAACCTGCAGGCAGATTCTGATGTGGCTCTGTCACCCACCCCGATTGGCTATAGAGCCCCAGGCAGGATGCTGAGCCTTGCTACCAGGCCTTCTGATAATGAAGGGTGTAGTCTACTTGATGTCCAGTCCCTCCCAACTTTATGAAGTCACAAGATGGCAGGAAGCCTCGGCACCACATCTTTATCGTTTTAGGACATTGTATGGGGAGCTTGGGTTCAAGCCACACCCACCTCCTACCTACCACTCAAGTTATGAGACAGCATGGGTCAGGAAGGGCTCATACTACAAGGGAAAAAAACCTAAATTAAAGAAGCCTTTATGATTCATGGCCTTAGTTTACCGACTGCTTACTGAGCTTAATGTCACCATTCTTCCTGTCGTAGACCCTAGGACAGCGGGCAGATCGGTGGAAATGAAATAGCAAAGTGAAATGTTTGCGAACAGGAACCCTTAAGAATGGGACTCTGTGGTCTTCACAATCGGACATGTCAGATCTCTCCGTGAAATCAGCTTCTCAGCACAGCAGGCCCAAACGGACAATCTTTTCTTTTAACGTAACATTTTGTGAGTGTCACAGGGTCATTCGCTTGCTTTCCAAATCTAAGGGCATTGTGTTTGCCATTCCAGCCCCTAAAATCTTGCCTTCCTTGTGCTGGCTGACTGCTCAGTCATCTCATTGGGATTCTGCCTTAACGCATAAGCTCTTTAGAAAAGCTTCCTCTGCCCGCCTCATGAGAAAACAAATCCTGAACCGGCTAGGCCTTTGTTTTCTTTGTAGTGCCTGTTAGGCAGGGCAGGCAATGATTTTTCACACCAGCTTGATTGCATGGTATCGTCTCTATGTTTATGGTCTTGGCAGCCACTTCCTCCAGGGTTCCTTGTGCTGGTGCTAATATATAGCAGGTGCTCAAACATTGCTGATTTGTGTAAAGAACGATGTGATGGGTGCTTTTCCATCACTCGTGAAATACACTGGGTTTGTGGAGATCTTGTTAGGTTCGACATGTCCAATATGAGACCTTAGCCAGTTACTGGTAGCTCAGCTTCATGGTAAGCATGTATGTGAAACACAGGGAGTAGTTCTGAGGCTTAGCAGATGTCTTACAGACGGGACAGCACGGCGATGGTAACAGTTCCAGGACAGGCAGAAATGACACCCTGTTTGTGGGTGGCTTTCTAAGGTACTGATCTTAAGGTCTGGGGACCACGGGATGTTTCCTTACTTCCTCTCAAGTACATGTCCAGTGGACAGGGCCTTGAGTTCTTGGTAATGACAGCATCAAAATCAACATCTTGGTCTGAAAAAGTCCTCAGTGTGTGTGGAGTCCTGTGTGTTGTATAATGTTGAGCAGCATGCCTGGCACCTAAGCCATACATGTTGATAGCAGCTCCCTGCCTCTGTGCAACAGACCAAATATCTCCAAATCAAACACACCCTTGTGGAGGGCCAATGGCAAAATCACTCCAACAGGCTGAATGGCCCATGGGCAGGCAGTTATTAATCCATACCAGTCATTTTGTGGCTACTTCTGCTTTGAAGTATTAGGTTTGAGACAAATATGTTATTTCACAAGAAATAATACTATAATTTTCCAATGCATCAAAGCAACTCAACAAATAATTATTTTAAAATTGAATAAGGCAATGAAACAATGTGTAAGAGGAAAGGTACCCAAAGTGCAAAGGAGCATTGTTACCACTTGGTGGCACAAAATACCAGTTTATCATCTGGCCTCGCTGCCAGCTGCCTAGCTGGCTTAGAGTCTGGAGTCTAGGGACATGTTTGCCCTTTAGTTCATACAAGGAAATTCAATTGCCAATATGAAGAATATTTAAAGTTTAGAGATATATGCCCAATAGAGGCAAGGGACTGACTACAAGCTTTGTTCTCACTGTCTGTAAAGATTCGCTCTCTCCAATTCAGAACAAAGCAGGGACTGCTCTTTAAAAACCTTAATTACATTTTGTGAATTTTTGGTAGATACTGGGATCAGAGTCACAAGGCTGCACCTGCTAGGTGCAGTGCTGTTCCATGAATTACACCCCATGTCCATTTGTGCATTCTTTGTGCCTTTTCTTCATTTCCTGTTTGATATTAGCATTTTTTAATCCTACAGACCATAGAATCTGTATGGCAAACATTAAATAAAAAATGTACTACTCATTTGGAGAAGGAAGTAAGCTTATGTGCTTAAAATATCTTGCCTTCCTGAGCATACCACAGAGTTCTGGAAGTCTTCTTGTCCTTGTAAGGATTAAGTTGCCAGCAGCCAGGACGAAAGCAAGTGAGTAAGAAGGTGGAGGTGATGTACTCAGGCCTCACCAAATGCGGGTGTGAGACAGTTTGCACTGTCACAAGCCTCCTGTCTGAGAAGTAAGTGGCTGTGGACTTACATTTGAACTGTCACTTGTCTAAGGCTGAAATTTAGCAAAGCATTTCATCTCTCTGAGCTCAGAGACCTTGGGTACAGGATGAAGAAAATAATACTGCAAAAGAAAGGCTGTGCGGATTCTGCAGCTTGGAATGCTGGGCGTCGCCATTACCTGCTGCTGTTATTATTATACAGAGGCATGAGTGTGCAGTGTATGAAGTCTGTTCATACATGGCTCTGCTCCGGTTGGAAACGCTCTGCAAGCATTAAATTTGGTTGATGCGCCCAAGCCCATGACTAAGGCATTTTGAGAATTACACAGTGTGGTTCCCCCATTATTTCCTAAAGTCTTGACCTTTTCTTTTAGACAAGTTCTTAGCACACAGCCCTGGGTGACCTAGACTCACCATGTAGACCAGGTTGGCCTCGAGCAGCAACCCACCCACCTTCCTCTGCTGCCTAAACACTGACACCAGAAGCATGAGCTACCGCACCCAGCTTCCCCAGAGCTTAGTGAATCCACACATTCCCAGAACCCTCTGTCATCTTTTAATGTATAAAAGAAATCATATTGAGAATTCTCACAAGGTAATGTAGAAAGGTAGGGCAGCATTTTATCGGCTTGCTTCTTCAGACGATTTATTTTTCAGTAGCTCCTGCCCTAAGTGGTGGCTAAAACCACAACTTCTGGATATATAACCAGTTTAAAAACAACAATAACAACATTCTCACTGAATCCAGGGCAGAGCAAACTCCCTCAAGGCATGAAACTCACTTTGACATCAGCAAACTGACAGTGACCTGTTCTGAAAGAGGAGTGGAGCATGAATTTAAGACATCACTCTGCATTAGCAGGTTTACATGTGTAATGATGAATGGCAGAAACTGATTTTCAGTTATGCTCTTCTTTTGCACTACGTGTCTGAAAAGCTAATGCTATCTTCAATCGAAGCCAGTTGGCACTGGAAACAAAGCCTGTGGCAGAAGAGAATGAAAAGGCTTGTCCAGTTAGTTTTGAAAAGAACTTTTACCTAGCCCATCCTCTCGATTTTATGGTATGCCTAGAATAAACAAGAAGACAGCATTTCCAAAACTAATTAAACACTGTAACCTTAAAACAGTCAGAGAGAGACCTTGAGTAAAACACAAACTGTCATCTTAGACTTTATGAAAAGAGTGAGGGAAGCTATTGAAAACTGAATCATCAAAGTTTGAATCTGTACCTATAAGAGAAAGGCATGTTCCCAGAGGAACCTCCCTCATTAACAATGGGAAAAGGTTGTTCTCAAGATAAGTGGCTGATTAAAATAATTTGAAACCAGAATCTCAGGTGGTAAGAAAAATGGGCACTTATGTTAATTTGAGCATCCAGGATGCAAGCGTCAAAGACAGTGCTAGAAGTTTGGTTCATATCCAGAACTACATGTATAAACATATCACATGTGATATACTGGGCTTAATTGCGACCCTTAAACATATGTTTCATGTGCTCTGCTCATTCTGTCCCCATTATCCTTGCTCGCTCTCCCTCCTCACACTGCTCATCTCAACACTGAGGGTTAGCTTGCCTATGAAAGAGAGAAAGGAACTAAGATGGCCTAGCACAGACAATAAGCCCAACCCCAGTGTCTAGATTCCACGGGGTTAGGGAGGGGTTGACGTTCAGTGGGGGACAGAAGCACCTGGGACCTAACGAACACAATCATAGCAAGATCCCAAAGGTTCTACAGCTGGAGGCTTCTAGATGACCACAAAGTGAGCAGACTCTCTCGTGAAGAAAGACACAGCTGCCACATCTCTCTGGCTGCAATAGAATACAACCACACAAAAAGGTATCAGTGTTAAATTGATGTCAGAATCGACATCTCACCTCAAACTCCACTGGATCAATAAGACACGACCTATGCTGCCTCGACATTGAAACTCTTCAGGACATGGGGATTGGTTATCATACCATGACTAGTATGGCTTCACCAAGAAATAGGAATGAAAAGAGGGCGCTAACACGGAAATAGCAAAGCATTCTTCTCACCACATGCCTTGCTTCATATATTATTTCTTTCTTTTAGTCTTCCTTGCAGTAACTGCAAGTAAGGAACCAGCCTGAGAGACTCATGCAATTTCTGCAAAGTCTTAGCTGGAGTGTAATAGGAAAATAAATATAATGATGTGTGTGTGTGTGTGTGTGTATACACGCGCACGCACACTCACGTGAATGTGGTGTGTACTGCCAAGCATAACCAACGTAATGTTAATGCTGCTGCCATTTCGTAATTAATGTATGCTGCCTTCCAAATGGCATGATGATTTTCTATTATCATTACTGGTTTTTCCACTTACTAATTCATTTATTTCCAATTATTTTTCTAGATATCCCCACTTGCATTATTCAGCTGGACTGCTTTCATTTTCTCTTCATACCTTTCTCTAGGAGTTTTAGACCTAGTCCTTTTCCTGAGTCCCCACATGACTATCACATGAATGTTTGTGTTTGCTCTTCCTGATCCAGCAATGATAATAAAAATAATAAGTAACTACTCTATTCTGCTCCAGCTCAGATATTGTCATAATCACTTTGTCTGAGCTAACTGATTTGACTTGAGTGCTCCGGGATACCAGTGTGTTTGCTGCCTAAGTTCTACAGATGGGGAAGGAGCTGTCAAGGTAGCGTTTCTAAGCAGAACTCAGACAGCCGTTCACCACCACGAGGAAATCCCTTATAAAAATTCAAATGTGCTCTGTGTTTTCGAAATGTTCTTGTCACACCATCACCACAAGCCCGGGGACAGGAAGCTTCTGCCATGAACAGACAGTCACTCCCTTGGCATTGTGAGCCACATATTATTGCTGACATGTTCTCCCCTTGTTTATCTATAATTCTTTAAAATGTCAACATGTGCGCACGCACACACACACGCACCATGAACTATACCAGTCTGAAGAAAAACACGCTGAAGAGCAAGCACCCTCCACCAGGCCCCTAACCAACACACCCGCCTGTCCGCAGAGGAAATGAGACTGTTGCTCTCTTGAAAACTTTATTGGCTTCCCTCTATCTCTCCCCTATCTGTACCATTTTAAAACGCCTGGTATCTCAGTGGAAAGAGAAACCACGCTCTGAATAGCAAGACCCGGACAATCCCCTCCAACCCTGAGGGGTGACTGCCTGGGGGCTGCAGATGTCCTCCCTCCCAGTGAACCCCAAGCTGCAGGAGACCTCGTGGGTTTCTGGGTGTGTCACACACGCATGCCTTCTTCCTGGCACTCCTGTTGCTTAGGGTCCTGTTCTGTGATAATATTTCCCCATGAAATTTCTAATTAGAGGAAGCCTTTTGAGTCCTCTGCTTCTATATCTGTCCATCAGGTCCAGGTTTAAAGTAGAAAATGGTTGACAGACTCATAGCTAAGATGGTAAAAAAAAGGAACCTGGGAGGCTGAATATCATGATCCACAGACCTGGAGAACACACTGCATGTTTTGGTGTGGGACATAAAATATGTCCTCCGTGGCCTCCCTCTTGGCCTTTGCTATCCTTGGGCACCTGCACAACGCATTTACGGCCACGCAGAACAACAGAAGCTGTAAAGCGGTGCTTCTGGGATTCAGCTCACCAGCCACGAGTCTTTGTACACATCCCTCTTTCTGCCTCAACAGGGAGCTCAATGACGGGAGGCAAAGCTTGTCCATGACAAGCTGAAAGAATCACAAGCCGCTCACCCATAACAAGCCCTCCCCACTGTCTCACTGGACCAGGTTAAATGAGAGGAGAAAAAAAGAAAACAACTGCCATGCTTCACCCATCAGATTCTGGGTTTTTTATCATGTGCAACTGAACGCTTTCTCCATGTTGGTTTTTTGAGTTTATCATTAGTGTCTGTTGAAACCCTGCGACCTGTAACTAACAAGGAAGGGAGTAAACAATCTCATCACTGAGGATTTTGTGTCTCCAATTTAGGAGGCTGCTGTATCTCAAGAGACCTTGCTCGTTATGAACTGTACAGGCTACAGCACTTGTTGAATCCTTGCAAAGTACCTTTGCAAACAGCTTCTTGCTGCCTGACAGACATCACTAGCTGTGTGTGCCTGCCACCTGAGCTTCAGTATCATTAACACTTACTGTTGCCTCCTTTCTCTCACTGACCTTGTACCTCACTACCCATCAGTAACCCCAAAGTTGTGGTTAATATGTTGCTCACACATAGACGAATTTTCTTCGGCAAAGAACATAGGTACATTCTCACTTCTCACAAAGTCTTCGAAAGCTATTACAATGCTTGTTAATAGTGTTAATGTGTCTGATATCTGTTTCTTTTTACCTTCTTAAATGTTCATTGGTGTTTTGCCTGCATGCATGTCTGTGCACAACTACTGCCTGTGGAGGCAAGACGGTGGCCTCAGTTTACCTGGGAATGGTTGTGAGCCATCACGTGTTTGCCGAGAATTGAACCTGGGTCCTCTGGAAGAACAGCCTATGCTCTTAACCACTGAGCCACCTCTCCAGCCCCTGTTTCCCATCCCTGAACATTGCTTCAAAGCACTGCTCCTTTCCTTTGACAAGGTAACTCGAATCCTGGGCAACCTAGGTGTGGCTTCCTGTTTTCAGGTGTCATCTTACCTGATTTTTGTCAAGTGAAAGGTTTGAAAGGTCTTCATGACTTCCCAAAATTCCAAATTTCTTTTCTTCGTTTCTCTTTTAAAGACAGATATTAAAATAAGTCTAGTAACATGGCCAATTTTTAATACTTCATTCCATATTCCAAAATCTACCTTCTCCAATTCCCCAGCAAGTTTTAATGACAGAAACATTTTCTCTTTGAGTTTTCGTTTTGGCAAGTTCTTGGGCATTTATCTAAATACTAATATTTCTCTTATCACAATTCTAATCAAACCTCACAACTCTATATTTAATTACATTGAATAAAGGGAATTTTTTTCCGCTTAACCCACTGATTCCTATAAATCAGATATCTGAGGAAGACCATGTTTCCCCCAGATTTCTATGTGCAATCATTTCAACTTTAAAAGCACTTTAGGTGTTTATTTTGTTTTATTTCTGCAACAGAGATGGACTTCAGGTTCCGATTGCTGGCTAGGACACTAGAACCCATGGAACTTGTTCCTGACTTAGAGTTCTGCACAACTGGTGGCAAAAAATCATCTTTCTTTCACCAATGACAGACTCTCAACATTAACAACTTTCAAATCATTTTATCCAGTGGTCCACCCAGTCAGGGGAAAGGTCTCTGAGTTCCTAATATCAGACATTTGGTTTTCTGATTGGCTACAGTTACAGACAACTCTACTTCCTAAGGTTGTCCATTGCTCCACTGGGCTGATCTTATCATTATGAGCTTGTTCCTTCATGAAATTAAAATTGAACTGTCTATAACTTCTGTTCATTGCCTTTCTTCTCATTTTTGAAGAAATAAAAAAAAAATGCCTGTAATCTCTAACCAAAAGTGAGTGTTCTAAAAATATTCTAGTTCCCTTCAAATTCCCTTTTTGGAAGAGACTGACAGCTCCTTTAATTATTCAGAAACACTCCACGCATACCTGTCCCCACCCAACCCTCCCCCACTGAAAGGGGCTGGTGACTTAGCGACTTAACATTAGTCGGTGGTGTGCTGCTCAGCACAATGAAGGAGCCTTGTGTGCTGGGGTAGGGAGGAATACACAGCATTGTTTATGTGTCTGAAATCTACCCTAATGTACCGCAGGCCTCCTACCCCACCAGTTGAGCACTACTTCTGATCTGTGCTTTCTTGAGCTCAGCTTGCCTACTGGGATTATTATTTCCGATCAGCGATCTTGGACCTTCCTTCATCAAACACCTTGCTGCCGACACTGGCCTCCCACTTTGTGTGTGGGCAATCAGTCCTGAAGTTTGCAATGCAGATGTTATGTCAGAGTCACCCAGGCTCCTATCAGCTATTCATAACTGCTGATACTCCACTAACAGTGAAGTGAGAAAACTGGGGCGTCAACAGCACAACAAGGTCCCAAATGCTCTCACTTTCAGCATCTATGCCAGACAATACATTAATTTAGTTACATTTCACGAATTTTTTTGCATTCTTTTAGGTAGAAAATGTCCAGTGTGCTCTTGTTAGTCACCAGATCAAGGACCATAATATATGCTGTTACTAGGAGGGAGAAGCATTCAGGGACAGTTTCTTTAAAAGGGTATGGCCAGTGATTACTGCGATGAGAGCAATTATGACCACAGAGGAAAATGACCAAGCCAATCACCTTGTTCATCTCTGAGTCTTCTTGGAAGCCTTTCTTGTGACCGTGGACCAGCTCAGACATCCATTTCTTAAACTTCAGTAGAAGATAAAGCAGGGACTTTGGACTTGGCACGAGATTGAAGGGGACAGGAAGCGTTCTTCCTTCCTCAAAGTAGGAGAACCACAGTTTGGCCCTTGCAAACTTCCACTCCACATCAGCATCGTCCTATACAAATGGACATGACTCTTCAGCAAGGAAAGACAGAATTGCCAGGTTCTTCTAACACAATGTGACCAGATAGAAGAGGCAATGGCTACAGATTCACTAGGATTCTCAAGACTGAAAGCTCCGAGGTATGTTGAACTCACATTTTTTTCCTGAAGTCTGTTTAGGATTTTACTAGGTGTTTAGGACTATTGATCTCAAAATTCATGTGTGTTTATAAACATTCTGAAAGATATCACGTGCACTTTCTTACATTCTTAAAAAAAAAAAAACAAAACTCTGTGGAAGAGGATTCTTCATTCAATCACTTATTCATTCAAGATACTCCTGGGATGCAAACTCACACAGTCACCCCCAATTTGAGAAAGGACTAATTCAGAGCATATCTCAAAAAAAGACTTGCAACAGTAGTATTATTTGTAAACAGTGTTTTTCTTTTCTGTTGTTGTTATTTTGAAACAGTCTTACTATGTAGCTCAGGCAGGTCTGAAACTCCTGTTGGTCCATCTGCTCAGTCTTACAAATGTTTGGATTACAGGCTTAGGCCACCATGTCTGGCCGTTGGCAATAATTATTGACTAAACAAGAGTTCATCAGTAGGCACAGCAGCACAAACCAGGAAGGATGAGGAGCTCAAGGCCCTACCCTGCTATGTAACAAGCTCTAAGCTAGCTTAAACTGCATGGGATTCTATCACAAACAAAAGTAAAACAAACAAACAAAAACCTACAAAATACAAATTCACCTTTATATAGCATTGAAAATTTTAAGAAATACATTAGATATGGCGATCCTTTATACTTTGCTGCCTCAGCATTTCCCCTCAATATTGTGTTTAAAAGCAAAATCAAACTTTTATGTGTTCCTAGGCCAACATTGATCAAACAAGCACAGAAAATTGAGAAATACCAAAGCATGAGAGCATGCTTCATTCCATTGACTACTCAACCCTTACAACGCTTGAAACACGTCAACACGGACTATAAGAACATATGGAATTCATACCTCAATTTCTTGGAATGAACTGTTGATCATTGCAATTAACATATTTAGCAAAACAATGACCATCGTGACATTATATACTCCATACAGAACATAGCCAATGTTTTCAATGAATTTGTGATTGTAGTTGATGACCACCGACTTCACTTCAGAAAGCCCAAAGATAGCCCAGAACAATGTCTTAAAACTTTCCTCAACTCTGGGAAAACAGAAATCAGAAAGAGGAATGTGAAAAAAGATACGAATAATATTGTCATCATAAATCTGAGTTGTTTGAATGTGCTTTCAAGTTACTAGATACACATGAGAAAACTGCTAGTCTGAATTTTTAGTTTTCCTCTGTAGTACTGGCAAAACAGCAGTTCTAAGTTCATTGCAAAGGTGAGATATTGCACATGAAAAGCATGTAGCTTGAGGCTTTACCATTGAATAGACGATAAGGCTATCAGATAACTTCATAACTAACAGCACTGCTATTTAAGTGATAGATGGATTTGGAAATGGAAAGTTAACTGAATTACTTTAAAAATACAACTTGTTAGACTGATTTCAGAGTCTGTTTCATCTGTACTCCCATTCGCACAAAATAAATAGAAAATAGTAATATATAACAGAAAATACAACAGTATAAATGTAGACAATGGCAGCAAAATTCCTGGCATCCCTCTGAAGACTTGTGATGCTTTGGGCATAATCATTTGTCCAGAGTTAAGCCCATATGTTTAACCCATATGCTTAATTTTTCCCTGAAAACAAAAATGTATGTTAGGAGAATATGAAAAACAGTAGGCTCCTCTTCAGATGCTGTTTGTCATGTGGCATGGACTCTGACTTTTAAGGCATCTATTCCAACACAATTTATTCCACGCCCACGAGCGTGTACGTGTGTGTGTAGTGAATATGTCATAATTCCATAGCTATTGCTACTTATCATCAGTTCAATGATAGGTTCTGGGAAACTGAACGGGGAGAGCAGCTGTCCTCATCGCCAGTGTCCTGGGAGTCTTCACTAAAGAGAAAGACACTGGACTTGGGACAGTGGGTGCTACTTGGCAAACAACGTCAGCACTTATGCAACCTCCAGAACATTGTTTAGCTATGCTGAGTTTTGGGTTCTTTTAGGGGGGACCGTAGTTAATAAAGATATGTGTGTGAGGTATTTACCATATAATCTGGCTCTAAAAACATCAGTTATCATTATATTATGTTAGGAAGGTTTCTACACGCTAGTCTTCTTGCAATCCACTTTAAGATCTCCTCGTTTTGCTGAAGCAGACCTAGCGAGAAGAGGTCTGCATCAGAGCATGGCCCTGAGAACACAGTGCTACGGAGCAAATCCCCTTCTATTCTGCAGTCTCTACCATCAGGGCACCTGGCACCACATACGTTGTGAAGGCTTCATTCTGTTTTGCACCAATGTAGTAGGAGTAGAGGTTGAACATTCCAATCATAAAGGCCACAAACACCATGATGAATATGACCATGAATTTGAAGATATCCTTTACTGTTCTTCCAAGTGAAATTTGCAGGGGTCCAAAGCTTTCATTTGCTGGTAAAATGTAAGCTATTCTGGAAAAACTTAAGACCACAGCAATTGCATAAAGACCTTCAGAGATGATTTGAGGATCGGAAGGGTCCCACTTTATCCTGGCTGGAAAAAAAAAATCAGAGACAAGAAATACAGTAAGTTCCCATGAGTTGTTTAGATAGGCAAATTCTTTTCTGAACAAAATAAATGTATAATCACATTTCACAAGTAAAAGTCTCTGTTCTGAAGAATTTGTCAAGTGTCTGCAATACATTCTGACTGAATTGAGGTGGTTTGTTATGGATTCTCAAAAGCATATGGTTCCTAATCTGTAAGCCTCCCTGTAGACCAGTTGAGCAACTGATTCTATTGATGGTTACATATGCAACTGAAAGAATTTATGCAAATCACTCTATTAGGTTTATTTCTCCCTCTGCTCCTGTGGCTTTCACATGCCTTTGAAAGTCAGGAAGTTCACATGCAGACAGTGCTTAAAAACAGCTGCCACCTACTCAACTGTAGCATTTTATCATTCAGTCTTGAACTATAACTGCAGAATGATGTCATTTGAGGCATAGATGTCTTGTTATTTAAATTTACTAGAAATAGTTTTTATTGGTCAATAAACAAGTCTATTTTTGCTACAATTTTTTTATAATTCATTAATAATTTCTTCTGGCATTATTACATCAAGTCATCAAAATCCACTTAAGAAACCATTATAAAGAAAAATGCAAAACTGTGTAAGAAGCAGGAAAATATAATTATAAATTTGCATTTGCTTATTTTCAGAGAATTGGAATTAGGAAAGAATAACACATAACTTACAAATATGGTTTCTTTTTATAGTGTTTGAGTATTACCTATAAATAGAATTTTTTTAATATATTTTGAAACTCCTTACATAAAAACAGGATTGAAATAAATACTAAGAACCCATAATGAGGAGACTTTAGTGATACAGACAGTAAACCCGCAAAGGTGCCAGTTGAATGTTAATAGATTTCTTACTAGAGAGTTTGCAATAAATATTCAAAAGGGCTGTATTTCCCCCCCAAGCCAAGTTTCTATGGAATGATTTTCCTTTGGCAAATATTGAAACTTATTTCCATTCCTTAATCACTTTCTCCTGAGGAAATAAGTAATTCACCTGGTTTGTTAATCTGAAATGGTAACAAAGTCTACTTTGATCATGTGACTGGCATCATCATCTCTCTCATGGGACTTCTCTGGTCCCCACAGAGGCATCCCTCAGAATCGAACATTTACTGCCATCACCATACCAGTCCTCACTGAGACACAGCCCTAGCCCATTGCTTGCTGAAAACTGGTAGTTTTTCTGATAGTTCTTGCAAATTGTGAGACTCAGTCTGGCTTAGACTTACGACATCTACCCCTTTTTCAGGTCTAGGGATGATGACTGGCACTCCACTCCATAGTCATTCACTCCTTCATTTGTTTGTTTTATCTCTCAGCTCATTCAATGCCTGGTTGTAAACAGAGCCGTTACTGCTAACTGAGAGCCCTCCTGGAAACTTCAAAAATGCTTTTACTTTGAAACAGTTTACATGCCTTGAGAGAAAAAAAAACATTCAAATATAACTTTTTAAACTGATGCGGATGTGGGTGGGTTGAATGTCACATATATTGACATGTCGTGCCTATTAAATTACTATAGTTAACATATCAATTGCCGCCCATACTTTTTCTGTATTGGAAGAACATTTAAAATTTACTGTCTAGCAATTTTCCCATGTACATTACATTGTTGATAACTACAGCTGCCATGCTTTACAGCACAACACCAGTGTTTGTGGCTTGTGTCTGACTACAGTATTTTATTCTCTCTGACCCATACAACTCCATTCCTGCCAACCATCATTATGCTCTACTCTTATAAAATCACACATGTAAGTGAGATCATGAGGTTTTCCCATGCCAGTCCTGTTTCACATAGCATGATGTTGATCATGGTTTTTGCAATAATTATCTCCTTTCTTATTTAAAGCCAAGTATCATTGCATCATGTGTACCTAGCTCATATGTGAACTTTTCTTTCTCAGCATTTCAGTTATTGAACATGTTCAATTAGACAAATGCCCAGTGAACTCCTGACATCAGCATGTCATCCTGTCAAATGCTCAGACAAAGCCTGCATTAAGAAGGCATATTTGGCCAGGTGTGGTGGCGCTCACCTTTAATCCCAGCACTTGGGAGGCATAAGAAGGAAGATCTCTGTGAGTTCATGACCAACCTAGTCTACAAAATGAGTTCCAGGACAGCCAGGACTACACAGGGAAACTCTGTTTCAAAAGAAGAGGAAAAAGGAGGAGGAGGAAGAGGAGGAGGAAGAGGAGGAGAAAGGGAAGGAGCAGGAACAGGAGGAGAAGGATGAGGGAGACAAGGATGAGGATGGAAGAGGAGGAGGAGAAGGAAGAGGAGGAGAAGCAGCAGCCATATGTGACCCACCATTCCTACTCAAGCTGTTTGTGCAGAAGTACCACAAATGCAGGTCTACAGGTGAACAGCCAAGTGAGTTTACAAAGCATAAGAGTCCACAGGTTAATGAAATAGACGAGGGAGAGGGACCCACAGGGAGATCTCTGCTTTCTTACAGTTACAGACGGCAGTGAAGCCAAAATAAGAGACTCTGCTAGAGGTTTTAGAAGGAAAAGGATTCTTTCATGACATGGAAGACATGATGGCTAGAAAACAGACATCCTACTCTAGATTTTTTGGATCATTGTCTAATGTGAACTATCTAAATAGATTAGGAAAGAATATGGATCTGCAGACAGGGCTCAGTGGTTAAGAGTGTTTGATGCTCTTGCAAAGAACGCAGGTTCAGTTCCCAGTCCCCATGCTGAACAGCTTAGTCACCTGTAAGTCCAGTTTCAGCAACTCTAACAACCTCTTTTTGACTCTTTGGACATTTGGTTTTATATAGGAAACACACATAAAGACTCATAAGGAAAGAGAAAACAGAAAAATACATAAATATAAGGTATGATATAGGGATTCTCAATAGATTTGTTAGCTAACCAGTTGATCCAAAGATAATAAGAGATGGTTCTTATGATTAATAGAGGATTCCAGTCAGAAAATTAATCAAAGGGAGAAACAGAAAGCACAATTCTTCACATAAATGTTATTCTTCAGATGCCATAAAAATTTTATGTGAATTGGGAGAAAAACAACTACTACTGCTATGTTTCTTTCACAAGAAAATAGTTTATCTTCACTAGTTTACACAGTAAAATAAACTCACCCAGATTGTAGTATTTGACGTTGTCTCCCAGTGTGACTTTTGTCAAGTCCTTCAAAGTGTCATTTGCATCAATGATGCTCTGAGCTTTGGATGCATGCCAGAAGGCCATAAATCTTGCAATGAATGATGCTGCAAAGATTGCCAGCATCCCAAAATCGAGCATATTCCACAACTCAAATAAGTACTCTTTGGGGCCTTGAGTCCAGATTTCTTTACATTCAGCCCATATCATGCCTGTATCAGCAAAGGATTAATATCATATCAATTTCATTCTAACTTTAGCTCTTCCATGAAGAAAAAAAACAATGAAAAAGTCTCACCTGATAGTCACAGCCCTGTAAATTTGTCCTTAGCCTTCCTTCCCCACCCCCAGAAACACTAGTCCAACAATATCAAGTCACCGAGCTACTGAAAAACAATCAAGTAATATTGATCAAGAATCTCATGTGAAAAGCACCACATTGTTTTTTGTTTGTTTGTTTGTTCCTAGTAATGGAAAACACACTTAAGATGTTCATTACAGCACTCAAAAGGGAAGTGCCACACTTTCACAATGGAGTTATGCAGACATTGGATATGATGTCTTATAAATTGTTGTGAATTACAGGTCATGTAAATAGCCTGCTGACCTCCAGCTACAGAATCTTTCTTGACCAGGAGCCTTGGCTACTGCCTTCTGAAACCCACTTTCACTTTTTCTACTGTGTGATACTCCAGCCAAAGACTGAAGAACACATAGGACTCCTGGGAGGGGGACTTTGATTCCAAGATTAATGGCCTTGTCATATTTCTCTTAGTCTGACTGAACGTTTGGACACATGGAACCAAAGATGTTTCCCTCCTTCTCCAACCCTTAGGGCTTGATACACACCTAGTTTCACAGGTCTTGCCTTCTGCCTCCCTTTCACATTTTTTTTTCCTCACAAAAAGTTCTCCTTAATAAAACTGCACTTCTTTCAGTGTATATATTGCTTATTTAGTATTCCTATGTGTATCTTGAGGGACCAGAACACACCATAAAATTAAATTTAAAAATTTAAATGACATGCAATCGGTGAACAAATTTAAAATGAGCACCTTGAAAGACTAGAAGAAATTACGATAGCTAACTAGTATCACTGTACTAATAGCAGTTGACTTTTTTATGCAATTATTAATAATATTTCATGGTTTTACAAAACTTAATGCACTGTTTGGGAACATTGGTCGTGACTTTCACTTCTCCGATAACTGGCTGCAGTAATTGGTGACGGGCTTAAGCTTTCTAGAATGCAGCTTGCAAAATGAGGATGCAACTTGCACCTCCTTTGCAAGACCACAATGTAAAAAATAAGCAGTATGCAGAAAATGTAGAGCACAGTGCTGGCACTTGTGAAGAAACTATGACAAACATCTTTGAGTCCTTGTTTCTTTGATTTAGTCATAATTCCCACATATCCTCTTTCTTAACTTGAACAATTTTACTTGGTTAAAATCAGTTAAAAATGCTCTCACGTCTGACATCCCATCTCATGACATCCCCATAGAGCGCTGTGGGGAAACACAATTCACCCTCCTCTAACAAATGACTTCCTAACTTAGACACAGGTTTCTCTCCTAACCTTCAGCGACCTCTGCCCCAGTTCTCACAAACACTTCGAGTCCCTCACAGAACATGCCAATCCAATGGCTGAGGAGCCCTGTGGAGTTGAAGAAAATGCCATGATCTTTGCTAGCCAAGAACACATCGAGTGCTTTTCTCAGTACAGCACAAAGAATCAGAGCAGACAATTTCATGGCTCATGTTAGCTGATTTCAGGTTAAGGGAGCATTAGCACCGGCTTTCTAAGAACTCTTACAAATTTGTAACAGGAAATAATGCAAGGCTCATATTCACACCAAAACCCTGAACAGCATGAAAAAGCCTGAAGACATTGAAGCTCTTGTTGTGATTCCCAGATTTCTCCCAACCTCAACAAAGACTGCAATGATTCAGAGTGATGCGCAGAGAGTACAGAACATCAGCACTCACGTAGTCCAGTGATACATGGGGACCAAGGGAATACCCATCGGAACTCATGCAATCTAGTCCTCCATCTTTTTGATGGTACAAACGGCATCTTGCTGCAGCTGACAAACTCCAGCAGAGGTATTCAGCCTGACAGAAAGCATGCCTATCTGCTTCCCACTCTACCATCCACACCCTCAGGGCTGTTGCTTAAGGACTTTTGAAACTGCCCACGTCTAGGCTGGCTTCCCCCAGTGCAGGAGAGTCCTCCACAGGGACCACACTGCTTAAACAGCCCTGGTTGAGTGACTCACTACTTCTGAGGGAGGCTTACTCTGTTGCCACATTGTGAGGACTACCTCTTCAAGGAGAATATGCCGGTTCTGTTTCTGCGCTCTCGAGCAGGGGTATGCTAGTTATCTCAGCATTTGAATTTCTCTAAAGATTCCCAGAGCCACGCTTTCCTGTGAAACAAGAGCAACCTGAGCTTCAATGTGCCCTGCTTGCTCCCCTCCGTCCAGGTATATTTCATATTCTTTTCCTTTAACTGAGTCCCACCACCATCGATGGAATAAGTTTCAAGTTACAATATTGAATCCCTTTTTTTTTTTCCTATCGCCTTTAGTGATAAAAAGTAAATGCCTCAAATCCTCCAAGGAACACACTGTAGAGCCACTCACTCTACAGTTTGCTTATCCTCTGAGGGGACCCCCTGTGGGGTCACTGTCACTCAGTCTTCAGTTGCTGTGACAAGCAAGGGCCCTCCATTGTCAACCTTACAGCCTTGGACTCCTCAGGAAGGCAATGGCAGCCCTGACTGAGGTCGACTCTGTTGGCTTCAACCCAGGATTGCTTTGCTTTTCCAGCAGCTCACCGTGGGTGACAAATGACTTCTGAAGAGTAAGCACCCTCAGTCACAGCCTTTGTCCTGAGTTTCTGTTAAACCTTACACAGACATGGGTTTACAATTATTCTATGTTGCCACAATCTCTTGGAATATCAGTTCTAGGTTTTTCAATTTTTCATCAAATGAAAATCACATGGATTTGCTTTCTATTAAAAAAAAAGTGAGTTTTTTTTCCCACCAACCAGTGTAAGACAGCCTGTGACCTACAGAGGCTATTTCTCATTAATATTTGTAGAAGACGCTGTGACTTTCTTGCAAGAACAAAAATTCAAGAAAATAAATACTAGTGTTAGAAAGTGAACAAAGAGGCTCCAATACTCAACATGTGCATAGCTGTCTGCTTTGCTTTTGTTTTCTCTTTCTTTTTGTTTTGTAAGATGATTTCTGAAGGAAAACAAAGGTGAAAGGGCAATTGTTCCATGAGAAATGCTTTTGTACATAACACTAAAGGATAATTTAATATTCTCAGCTTCAGTTTCTTAATGAAAAAAAAAAAAAAAGCTAACTCTACACCAAAAATTGTATTACTGGAAGAATGAATTTTGGTAAAGAATGAAATGAGCATCATTCAATTATTTCTAATTCAATAAAAGTTCTTTTGTTCTCAAAATGATGTTTTGAACTTAAAGAGAAATCTCTTTTCTAATAGGAAATGCTCACTGTATATAGAAAAACTAGATAATACCCAGTGAAAAGTGTAATAATTATTATAGTTATCTGAGATTCATTGACCCTGTCCTGTGTTCCAATCTCTGTATTATACATTTTACTTAGACTAATATATTAAAAAGAGCTCATAGCTCTTAGTGTAATAATATAAAGGCTATACAATAGCATTTACTCTTAAGTCACAGAACAGAGGGAAAAAATATCTCTTCCAGTTTTGTCAATTAAAGTAGAGAAGAAAGAGTTAAAAAAAATTCAAGTCTTGCCACATGTCCAGGATTTACCCCTATTTTAGTTAAACCAAGGCAAAAGTGTTTTTGCTTGAAACATATCTATGAAATGAAATGGTTCAAAAGTATTGAAAAACTTAGTAGCTATTGAATTGCTTCACACAGTTAAAAATAATCACACTGCAATTGTTGTGCTACTTCCTGATATTTCAATTGCTCATTCATTGGGCTTCAATATGAAGAAGCCAAGAAGACATGAACACCCTGGAAGTGACATGACATTGATTTCTTGTATTTCTGAGTGACTAAGATGGGTAGTTGATGGGGGAGACCTTATAGGTGGTTCTGTATGAAGACTTCTTGAGTCTTCTGTTTACACTCCACATAGTTCCACTAAAGAATTTCTTGTAGTCAGGGCCTCAAGAGTCATGTGAGAATGAAGAACTTTTGGAAATTTGCCTATGGCCAGGCTTTTTCCAGCAGCTATATTCCCTATGACTTAGTTGGTATTTCTCTCTAGAAATGCTAGGACATTTCAGAGTAAATCACAGATTTAATAAGCAGTTTTCATGCTAAGCATGACTATCTCTATTCTTCCCTTAGAAGGCAGTAACCAATTTCTAATACACACACACACACACACACACACACACACACACACACACACACACAC